GGATATTATTTAGCAATAGAAAGAAATGAAGCACTAATGCATGCTATGACATGAATGAACCTTGCAAAAACACTAAGTGAAAGAAGCCAGCCAGAAAAGGTCACATATTGTGCAATTTCAGTTTTTGTTTTTTTGTTTTTGAGATGGAGTTTCACTCTTGTCACCCGGGCTGGAGCGAAGTGGCATGATCTCTGCTCATTGCAACCTCCACCTCCCAGGCTCAAGCTATTCTCTTGCCTCAGCCTCCCTAGTAGCAGGGATTACAGGCGCCTGCCACCACACCCGGCTAATTTAGTATTTTTACTAGAGACAGGGTGTCACCATGTAGGCCAGGCTGGCCTTGAACTCTTAACCTCAAGCAATCCACCCACTTCAGGCTCCCAGATTGCTGGAATTACAGGCATGAGCCACTGTGCCCAGCCTGCAATTCTGTTTTTATCAGGGGTGTCCAATCTTTTGGCTTCCTGGACCACATTGGCAGAAGAAGAATTATCTTAGGTCACACATAAAATGCAGTAACACTAACAATAGCTGATGAGCTAAGAAAAAAAAATCTCATAATGTTTTAAGAAAGTTTATGAATTTGTGTTGGGCTGCATTCAAAGCCATCCTGGGCTGTCTGTGGCCTTCAGGCTGCAGGATGGAAAAGCTCGGTTTGAATGAAACATCCAAAATAGGCAAATCTAGAAAGACAGAGAATAGATCAATGGTTTCTGATGGGGAGGAGGAGGGTGGAGAGAGAAATGAGAAATAACTCCCAATGGGCATGGAGTTTTTAGGGGAAATAAAGATGTTTTAAGATTGATTGTGAAGATGGTTGAACAATGTGAATATACTGAAATCTAGTGAATTTGGATTTTATGGGAATGGATGGGTGGATTTTATGATATGTGAACTATATCTCACTGAAGCTGATCTTTAAAAGGAGGAATTGTGCTGGGTGTGGTGGCTCACACCTGTAATCCCAACACTTTGAGAGGCTGAGGCAGGAGGATTGCTTGAGCCCAGGAGTTTGAGACCAGCCTAGACAACATAGTGAGACCCCCCTCCCCCACACCCACCACCCTGGTTTCTACAAAAAATCAAATTAAATAGCTGGGCGTGGTGGTGTGCACTTAGTCCCAGCTACTCAGGAGGCCAAGGTGGGAGGACTGCTTGAGTGTGGGAAGTCAAGGCTGCAGGGGACCATGATCTCCAGCCTGGGTAAACAAAATACTGTGCCAGGCATAGTGGTTCACAACTGTAATCCCAGTATTTTGGGAGGTAGAGGTGGGCAGATCACGTGAGGTCAGGAGTTCGGGATCAGTCTGGCCAACATGGTGAAACCCTGTCTCTACTAAAGATACAAAATTATCTGGGTGCAGTGGCTTGCCCCTATAATCCCAGCTACCTGGGAGGCTGTAACAGGTGAATCACTTGAACCCAGGAGACAGAGGTTGCAGTGAGCCAAGATCATGCCACTGCACTCCAGCCTGGGCCACAGAGCAAGACTCTGTCTCAAAAAAAAAAAAAAAAAAAAAAAAAAAAGCAATATTGTGCTGAGAACAAAGAAGTTTTGCAAACCACCCAATACAGCTGATGAGTCAGCCTCTTGCAACCTCTCATTCAGAAGGGGGATGTCCAGAATTGAACATATGAATAGGATTTATGTGTCTTTTGTCAAAACAGTAAGTAGAGGCACACACAGGGCTGGGCTCCCAATTATCCACAAGGACTCTGGGCTATGTGAGCCAAATCTCGGGAAAAAAGAAATTGCCATTGAGAGTGAGCAGATGTTTTGTCTCATAGGAAAACCGAAACAGTTGTCCGCATTTACTGTTTTTGCATTTGCTATCAGGAACATTCAGGGCCAATGTCTAGTCAGCAATCTGTGACTCTCTGAAGCATGACAATTGGTGTCTCTGTGTGCACACATGGACTCAATCTCTACTTTACTTGTTTGAATTGGGTTAAGGTGTACGCTGATTCAATCCCTTCTCCATAAAGTATGCATGCATTCCAAACACAGACCATCTATCACCTTGGGGGTGGAATCTGACCAGAACATCATAAAGTTGTTTGCAGCACTTAGGGAGTTTTATTTGGCTAAGGACCCAAGGAGCCAAGCTTGTTAGACCTCAGCCAATGCTCAACACATTTACAACACAGTTACAATTTGCCTACCATTGTAACAACTTTTGCTACATGTAATACTGTTGTTTACTTAAACATTTTTCTTTAAATCGATTTCCCTTTTTTAACTTAAAGCACATTTATGAACATAAAGCAAAAGTCAGTATCTGTTGCTATAAGTAGAAGGTGGCTCTTAAAAATGAGCCTGGTGAATACAATGTTGCGCATTCTAACTAGATCCTGTTGTCTGACCTGATTCTGAGCCTGAGGCCTCATTGTTAAACCTGGAGATGAATGAGGGTTGGAGGGGTGTTAAGGACCCGTTTGGAACCATGCTGAGACTTTCTCCTTGACTAAATCAGAATGATTACATGAGAACAGAAAAGGGTAGACACTCTAAGGCCCCTTTATTTCTTCTGCAACTACCTCCTGAACCTAATGTGTTGTTCACCTACATGGTTTTGGGGGTGCTAGACTATACAAGGCAGATGAAGCCCTAGTTCTTCCCATATGCCTGGGTCTTGGCAAACATTTAGTACTTTGATGTTGCTCTTGTAGTTGCTATTATAATAACCGTTATTCCTTTATTATTTCAGAGCAGGGAATGGACCTTCTGGGGAAAGTTAGGAGTGGGGTTAGTCTGTGAACATTCTCTTACAGCCATGATGGCCTGGGCAGGCACATAGAGTTTAATTCCTATCAGAGAATAGAGTTGAAGGTGGGCACAGTGGCTCATGCCGATGATCCCAGCTCTTTGGGAAGCTGAGGCAGTGGATCGCTTGAGGCCAGGAGTTCGAGACCAGCCTGAGCAATATGGCGAAACCCTGTCTCTACTAAAATACAAAAATTAGCTGGGCACGGTGGCATGCACCTGTAGTCCCAGCTACTCAGATGGCTAAGGTGCTCTTGGGATTGAAACCCTAATTCTTAACACAATCCACAAGCCCTTTCTAATAACAATTGCTGACACTTAGGTGCCAGGCACGAATCCACCCTCTCTGTATTTTCATGCAGCCAGCCTCCAGGACACCCTTATCAGGCGGAAGCTGTAACTATCCTCATTTTATAGATAAGGAAACTGAAGAACTGAGATTTGCTCAAAGTCACACAACTAGAAAGAGGCAGTGCTGAGCGTCAAAGCCAGCCATTTGCCAGGAGTTCAAGGCTGCAGTGAGCCATGATCATGCCACTGCACTCCAGCCTGGGTGATAGAGCGAGAGCCTGTCTCAAATAAACAAACAAAAGCCAGACAATTTGGTTACAGAGTCCTTATTCTAAACCAACACCCTTTGGTGCCTCTAGCGTCTCGGGGCATGGAGTCCCAATCTTTCCTATCATGTTTCATAGCTTTGCATTTTTGATGGATTCTTTGCTTAACACCTGTTTTACCCACTGACAGCAGTCACACTGGTAGCTGGTTTACCGAAAACTTGGCCTATGCTAGGCTCAGTATATAGCACTTTCTCCGCATCACTGAATTTTACCCTCTCAGCAATCCTATAGGTTAGATGTAATTATTACAGTAAGTCTTCACTTAACATCGTTGATATGTTCTTGGAAACTGCAACTCTAGGCAAAATGATGTATAATGAAATCAATTTCACCATAGGCTAACTGACGTCTACAAGAGTTAAGCTCCTACAGTCTATTTCTGGTCACAAAAAAGTTACCGAATTTCTAAATAAAGACCAAAATGCTTCTAATATTAAACACTGAAATAAATATGAGCTACACATACATTTAAGGAAGATTAAGACCAGGCACACTGGCTCACGCCTGTAAGGCCAGCACTTTGGGATGCCGAGGTGGGCGGATCCCTTGAGGTGAGGAGTTTGAGACCAGCCTGGGCAACATAGAGAAACCCTGTCTCTACTAAAAATACAAAAATTAGCTGGGCATGGTGGCATGCACTTGTAGTCCCAGCTACTTGGGAGGCTGAGGCAGGAGAATCACTTGAACCCAGAAGGTGGAGGTTAGAGTGAGCCAAGATCATGCCACTGCACTCCAGCCTGGAATGCAGCTTTGAGACAGAGCAAGACTCTGTCTCAAAAAAAAAAAAAAAAAAAATCACCAGTATGGTGGTGCATGCCTGTAATCCCAGCTACTTAGGAGGCTGAGCTGGGAGGATCGCTTGAGTCTAGAAGGTAGAGATTGCAGTAAGCCATGATTGCACAACTGCACTCCAGCCTAGGTAACAGAGTGAGACCCTATCTCAAAAAAGAAAAAGAAAGATTAATAAAAACAAGTAAGATCATTATTTACCCACTTATTCAGTTCAAGGTCACAGTGGTCAGAGCCTATCTCCACAGCTCAGGGCACAAGGCGGGAACTCACCCTGTACAGACCATGTTCCATTGCACAGCACCCACACACAGTCACACTCACTCACCTGGGACCATGCAGACACACCATGGGAGGACACGCAAACTCCATATAGACAGTGGCCCTGGCTGGGAATCTACTTTCTTTTCTCATCAATGTTACAATAAAACATTGAACAAAACAATGTTGTTTGAGGACTTGCTACACCACATTTTATGCACAGAGAACCTGAGCTGAGAGTTTAAGTCACTTGTTCACTAGGTTATGAATTCCCAAAGGTCAAAAAACTTTGTCCATTTTTCTCAATGAGTCCAGAAGGTACCATTTGAGTGCCTGGCATACAGTAGGCACTCTATAAATGCATTTTGGTTGATTAGATGGGTGGATGGATTGATGATGGATAGCCAAAGGAAGGAAGAAAAGAAGGAAAAAAGGGAGGGAGGGAAGAAGGAAAGTCAAGAGAGAGGAAGGACTGGGACATGCCACCCAGTTCCTGGACATGACTGGGACATTCTCCCAGGCAAGGCTGGTGTCCCAACTGATGTGCGTCCCTGGTCTCTCTGCAGGGACCACCATGCACGTGAAGAAGTACCTGCTGAAGTGCCTGCATCGGCTGCAGAAGGGCCCCGGCTACACGTACAAGGAGCTGCTGGTGTGGTACTGTGACAACACCAACACCCACGGCCCCAAGCGCATCATCTGCGAGGGGCCCAAGAAGAAGGCCATGTGGTTCCTGATCACCCTGCTCTTTGCCGCCCTTGTCTGCTGGCAGTGGGGCATCTTCATCAGAACCTACCTGAGCTGGGAAGTCAGCGTCTCCCTCTCCTTAGGCTTCAAGACCATGGACTTCCCTGCCGTCACCATCTGCAATGCCAGCCCCTTCAAGTAGGTGGTCCCCAAGTACACAGCTGGCCTCAGCGGACAGGCTGTTCTCTTGCTCTTTTCTTCCCTTCCAACTTTCCTTTCCTTCCTTTCCTTTCTTCTTTCTCTCCTTCTCTTTCTCCCCTTCCTTCCTTTCTCTTTGTTACTTTTCCTTCCTTCTTTTTACTTCCCTTCCTTTTCTTTCATTTTTCCTTCCTTCTTTCTCTTTCCCCTCTCTTTCTTTCCAATTGTTTTCATCCTTTTGCAGCAACTAAGATTCAAACTTCATAAACTTTTGGCCAGGTATGGTGGCTTATGCCTGTAATAACAACACTTTGAGAGGCCAAGACAGGAGGATCCCTTGAGGCCAGGAGTTGGAGACCAGCCTGGGCAACACAGCAAGATGGCTCTTAGAAATATATATATGTTTATACATATTTTAAATTAGCCAGACGTGGTGATGCATGCCTGTGGTCTGAGCTGCTTAGCAGGCTGAGGTGGGAGGATTGCTTGAGCTCAGGGGATCAGGGCTGCAGTGGGCTGAGGAGGCGCCACTTGAGTTTCAAGTCAAGGCTAAGAAAAAATAATTAAGTGAGAATAAAAACAGGCCAGGTATGGTGGCTCACACCTGTAATCCCAGCACTTTGGGAGGCTGAGGCAGACTGATCACCTGAGATAGGGAGTTCAAGACCAGCCTGACCAACATGGAGAAACCCCATCTCTACTAAAAATACAAAAAAATTAGCCAGAGGTGGTGGTACATGCCTGTAATCCCAGCAACTCCGGAGCCTGAGGCAGGAGAATCATTTGAACCTGGGAGGCGAAGGTTGCGTTGAGCCAAGATCACACCAATGTATGACAGCCTGGGCAACAAAAGCAAAGCTCCGTCTCAATAATAATAATAATAATAAAATAAAAACAAGAAGATGCCACTACACTCCAGCCTGGGCAACAGAACCAGATCTTGTCTCTTAAAAATAAAAAATCATACATTTCCTAGGCTTACAGAGAACCTTGGGCAGCCTCTGTCTTTAGGCAGATGAATGCCTATTTATAGATTTCACATATGTTTATGGAGCACCTACTATGTGCCAGGCACTGTTCTAAGCACCACAAAAACAGCAGTGAATGAAACAGAGTCCCTGTCCTCTTCAAAGCCTGTGGAGAAAACAGGCCCAACAAAACTGTCCCCACAAATATCGAATTCGTTGTCATTATGATGATAAAAAATAAATAAAATAAAATGACTTGGCGGGGCACCGTGGGTCACACCTGTAATCCCAGCACTTTGGGAGGCCGAGGTGGGCGGATCACTTGAGGTCAGGAGTTCGAGACCAGCCTGGACAACATGTGAAGCCTCATCTCTACTAATAATACAGACAATGCCTGCAATCTCAGCTACTTAGGAGGCCGAGGCAGGAGAATTGCTTGACCCCAAATGGCAGGGGTTGTAGTGAGCTGAGAAATCGCACCACTGCACTCCAGCCTGGGTAACAGAACGAGACCCTGTCTCAAAAAAAAAAAAATTAAATTAATAAATAAAACAACTCTTCAACAAACGCTTATGACATGCCAGGTATTGCGTTCAGTGTTCTTTGGTAATTGGTGTCATTCTAATTCACACAACCACCCTAGGGGTGGGAACTACTGTCACAGCGTGGTTTACAGGTGAGGAGATGGAGGTTCGGAGAAGTAAGTGAACTCACCTGGAGACACACAGTGGACCACTGTGGGATTTGAACCCAGGCCCGACGTGATTCCAGAGCTGCTACTTTTATTATTATTATTATTCTTTAAGTTCTAAGGTACACATGAAGAAAGTGCAGGTTTGTTGACATAGGTATACGCATGCCATGGTGGTTTGCTGCATCCATCACCCCGTTATCTACATTAGGTATTTCTTCTAATGCTATCCCTCTCCTAGCTCACCACCCCCTGCCACCCCTCCTCTAGCCCCCCACCCCCACCAACAGGCCCTGGTGTGTGATGTTCCCCTCCCTGTGTCCATGTGTTCTCATTGTTCAACACCCACTTATGAGTGAGAATATGCAGTGTCTGGTTTTCTGTTCTTGTGTCAGTTTGCTGAGAATGATGGTTTCCAGCTTCATCCATGTCCCTGCAAAGGACATGAACTCTGCTACTTTATAACAATTCTTCCAGGTTGCCTTTTCTTCGCTTGATGGCAAGGCCTGTGAAGGGGACACACGAGGAGACCCAACCTAGTCAGGGTTTCAGAGAGACAGAGAGTCATTCCAAAAACAAATTTTTTTTTTTTTTTTTTGAGACTGAGTTTCGCTCTTGTTACCCAGGCTGGAGTGCAATGGCGCAATCTCGGCTCACCGCAACCTCCGCCTCCTGGGTTCAGGCAATTCTCCTGCCTCAGCCTCCTGAGTAGCTGGGATCACAGGCATGTGCCACCATGCCAACCTAATTTTTTTTTTTTTTTTGTATTTTTAGTAGAGATGGGGGTTTCACACTGTTGACCAGGATGGTCTCAATCTCTTGACCTCCTGATCCACCCGCCTCAGCCTCCCAAAGTGCTGGGATTACAGGCTTAAGTGCCCTAATGAATGAGTAGAAGTTCGCCAGGTGGAGTGAGAGAGTGCCCCCAGTGGTGGACATATCAGGTGCAGCTTTTGAGAAGCTTGGTGCATTCAAGGAATTGAAAGAAGGGCTGAGTCACAGAAAACATTCTTATCAAAAAGAAAGTCCTGACCTGGCACAGTGGCTCACGCCTGTAATCCCAGCACTCTGGGAGGCCAAGGCGGGCAGATCACCTGAGGTCAGGGGTTCGAGACTAGCCAGCCCAACATGGTGAAACCCCGTCTTTACTAAAAATATAAAAATTAGCCAGGTGTGCTGGCACATGCCTGTAATCCCAGCTACTTGGGAGGCTGAGGCAGGAGAATCGCTTGAACCTGAGAGGCGGAGGTTGCAGTAAGCCGAGATCTTGCCACTGCACTCCAGCCTGGGTAAAAGAGCAAGACTCTATCTCAAAAAAAAAAAAAAAAAAAAAAAAAAGACAAAAAGAAAGTCCTGACCAGGCACGGGCACAGTGGCTCACACCTGAAATCAGAGCACAATGGGAGGCTGAAGCTTGAGGATCACTTGAAGCCAGGAGTTCGAGACCAGCTGGCCAACATGATGAGACAGCATCTCTGTTTTTAAAAGGAAAGAAGAAGATCCTGAAAAGAATTCATACACAACAATTATTTTCCCAATTGTCAGAATGTCCCCTCTATTAATAGGACTATTCCTGCTTTGGTGGGTTCTTAGAGTGGGTCAAGAGAGCCTTTGATAATAACAGGAATTCAGCACTCCATCCTGGCACTGATTCATGCACTTTATAAGCAGCACTTCACTGAATCTTCCCAAAAATTCTCTAGGGTACTTATTTTTATTCGCCTGTTTTTGAATGAGAAAACAGAACCTCAGAGAAGTTAAATTGCCCAAGATACTAAGTGCTATGCCAGGATTCAAACCCAGAGCACACAAAGTGACCCACCAAGATTCCCAGCAGCTGTGGACATCTAGATTGCAATAACACTGCCACCTACGCAGATGCCACCCTTCCTGATCCTCCTCTTCCTGTGTACACAGGTTTAATGGTCAGGGAACTGGCACCAAAGGGCAATGTTAGCTCCGGCTTCTGTACACCTTTGTACCGGAACCTTGGCCTCTGTCCAGCATTTAATGCTCCTGCAGGAAGTCCTCCAGCCAGAGATGGCACTTGTGGCTCCAATGACCCCACACTGAGGCAAGGTCTTTGGTAAATTGGGAATGAAGTGACTGGGGTGCAGGGCCTGGGCCCCCATGGACCCTGGTGGAGATACTCCTTGATAGATCCATCTCTCACTGGTCATCATTTCCAACATGAGAGTTCCTCAGGGTTGAGGGAAGACATTGGAGCCAGCTTCTCAGTCCCATCATTTTCTCTCTCCTGAAACTGGCTCTTGTTCCCAAAGTTCCTCCCTCCTGGGAGGTAGATCTCAGAACCCCCATACACATACCCACTGGAACCCACCAAACCTGGATTCTAAGCTCAGCTCTGCCCCTTATCAGTGGAGTGAGCTTGCAAAATCACACCAATTCCTGGAGCCTCAGTTTCCTGATCTATATGTGGGGATGGTAACAGAATTGTGGCAAAGAGTAAATGAGACCTGGAAAGCACCTAGCACCTGGCACAGGTAAGCTATCAGTAACCACAAACCATTACAATTCTTCCTCACTCAAATGTGAATTTCTTAAGAAAAGAGACCAGGTCTCTCTTGTTTGCTGCTATATCATCTGTGCCCTGCACAACGCCTGGCACATTGTAGGTGCTCATTAAAAATTGGTGAATGAATGAGTGTATGGGTGCTGAAAGGTCACGTGGATGCATGGGTGGGTGCTTAGGTGGGGTGTTCTTACACATAGTGGCAGCCTTGCTGGAGTAAGAGTGTGATATGGTTTGACTCAGTGTCCCCACCCAAAGCTCATCTCGAATTGTAACCCCCATATGTCAAGGGAGGGACCCAGTGGGAGGTGATTGGATGGCAGCTTCCCCCATGCTGTTCTCATAATAGTGAGTGAATTCTCACAAGACCTAATGGTTTAAAAGTGGCAGACTCCCCTGTGCCTGCGCGCTCTCTCTTTCTCTCTCTCCTCCCATCTCCTGCCACCATGTAAGATATGCCTTGCTTCCCCTTCAACTTCTGCCATGACTGTAAGTTTCCTGAGACCTCTCTCCAGCCATACAGAACTGTGAGTCAATTATACCTTTTCTGTTTATAAATTACCCAGTCTCCGGTAGTATCTGTATAGCAGTGTGAAAACAAACTACTGCAGGGTGGGTCCCAGATTTCTGCTGCTCTGCTTTAGGAGTTCATCGCTCCCCCTAACCAGCCCTCTCCCCATCCAGGTATTCCAAAATCAAGCATTTGCTGAAGGACCTGGATGAGCTGATGGAAGCTGTCCTGGAGAGGATCCTAGCTCCCGAGCTAAACCACGCCAATGCCACCAAGGCCCTGAACTCCTCCATCTGGAACCACACACCCCTGGTCCTTATTGATGAGCGGAACCACCACCACCCCGTGGTCCTCGACCTCTTTGGAGATAGACACAATGGCTCGTCAAACAGCTCAGCATCAGAAAAGATCTGTAATGCCCAGGGGTGCAAAATGGCCATGAGACTAGTGAGTGGTCCCTGGGCACATGTCAAGCAATGGGCCCCACCCAGTGAGGCTGATGTGTGTTTGTTTTCTGTAATTACTTGAGTCTTGCTGGGGGAAAGACAAGATGGAAGCCAGAGTCTGTTTTGCTTGTTTGCAGAGCTTTTTAAAATATAGAAATTGCTGGCATGTTAGTCAAGCATGCCAGCAATTATACCTCTTTTGGTATAAGTGATCCAGCTCAACCTAGCTCAAGCAAAACAGGGAATTCATTGGCTCACATAATTAAGAAGTCCAGAGATACACCGCATTCAGGCAAGGCTGGAGCCAGGTATTCTAAAGGGGTCATTAGGAATCTTTCTCAATCTTGGTTCGACTTTTCTCTCGGGTAACTTCATTCTCAGGTAAATTCCCTCCATGTGGAGGGTCCCCTCAATGTCCTTGCTTAGCAGTTGCCCCAGAAAAAGAGCTCTTTCCCTATAGTCCCGGCAAAGGTCCCTGAGAGGACTCATTAGGTCACATGCTTACCCCTAAACCAATTATGTGGGCGACAGCATGGGCTCTCATGATTGGCCAGTCCTGGGTCATGTGCCCTGGAATTGGGAATCATGTCAACCTCTGTAAGACCACATGGGCTGAGCATGGGGGAAGTCTTGTTATCAAAAGATAGGGGCATAAATATCAGGCAGGTGAAAGGCCACAGCTTTGCAGTACAGTCAGATGCCAAGAAACAGCTGCCCTGCACTGGGAGGCTGGGGTGCCATTAGTTCTTAAGCCTAGAAGTGAGGAGAAGTTCCCCTGTCTGTGTCTCAGGATCGATCTCCTGGGAGCTCTGACACAATACACATCCCTAGTCCCACTCCTGGAGAATCTGAGTGAGCAGCTCTGGGCCCAGGCCCGGGAATCTGTATTGACAACAGGCTCCCTGGCGATTCTGATGATCAGTCTTGGATGGGGATCCAGGACGGGACCATACAGTCTCCAGAGGGGGTGCTACTGCCTTGCTGCTCACACTCACGGCGTCATGACTTCCACAACTGCTTTGTCCCCCCGCCTCTCCACACAAACTAGCCAGTGTCATATTGAGAAACTGCTATGGTCACACCTTCCTTAACCTGCTGGGCCTCAATTTCTTCATGATGATGGTGATAACAATGATATTTACTCCCTAGTGTTGCTGTGAAGATTGAATGGGGTTATAAATGTAAGGCCCTGGGAACGGAGCCTGGAACAGAGCGAGGATTAAGGACTGCCATTACCTCCCCCAGGGGAGGCAGAAGGCCCCCAGGAATGGGCTGGTCGGGCATGTTGGGAAGTGTGGTACAAGAATGCTGAGGAAAGCTTCTCTATCTGGCCTCCTGGGTTCCAGCAGGGAGAACCAGCAGCAGCCTCGTGGCCATGGCCAGAGTCCCAGGGCCAAGTCTGTCCCATGTCTGCGTGGTGACTTGGATGTCACAAGAAGCCAGTTGTGACTGGGTGGAAGGTGGCCCTGCACCCTGTATTGGGCTCAAGGTGACTGGGTCTGTGTCTTTCCCAGAACACACAGGAGGCAGTGTTTCCTGTGTGTTGAGTTTCTTCTTGGTCTTCATGGCCTCCAGGGGAGCTGCATCTGGAAGTCTCGGGGAGAGTCTGGAAAAGGAATCAGAACGCTGTGTGTGTGTGTGTGTGTGTGTGTGTCTGTGTGTGTGTGTGTGTGTCTGTGTGTGTCTATGTGTCCACATGAGCATAAGTGTTGCAGCCACTTGTGTGAATCTATGTGTATGGGGTTCGGGGCTAGGGTAGATGTGTGTTACAGCGACATGAGGCTGTGGAGGTCAGAGAGAGGGCGTCTTCTGTGCATGCCTCTGCACACATGACCACGTGTGCTTTTTTGCTCATGCACAATGGTACATGTGGGGGTGAGGCGGTGGCTGTAAACTGAACCCCCGAGCCACGCTCCCTTGAAAGAGGGGACCAGCCTCTGTACATGACTGTGAGTTGGTCACTGGCTGTGGGTCACTTTCAAGAGGTTGATGAGGGGTCTCCTAACCTCCCAGGCCTTACCCCCAGCAGCCAAGGGTAGGTGCACCAGCCTAATGAGGGAGCACTGGCACACCACTGTGTATGAGGCGCGCAGCCCTTGAGCATGCGTGAGCATGAGTATGAACTCCCACCACCAAGTTGCAGCCAGAAGGGCGGCTGGCAGAGCACTGCCCTTGCCCTGCTAAGGCCCTCAAGCAGTGGTTGGGGTCCTGCCAGCAGCTCCTACGCCACCCACAACAACCCCTCTTGGCCTCCACAGTGTAGCCTCAACGGGACCCAGTGCACCTTCCGAAACTTCACCAGCGCCACCCAGGCAGTGACAGAGTGGTATGTCCTGCAGGCCACCAACATCTTTGCACAGGTGCCGCAGGAGGAGCTGGTGGAAATGAGCTACCCCGGCGAGCAGATGATCCTGGCCTGCCTCTTCGGGGCCGAGCCCTGCAACTATCGGTAAGAGCCACCCCCCTTCAACGCGTCCACCCTGCCAGGCCCCTGCTCCAAGGGGCAGTGGTGTGTTACGGTTGGGAGCACAGCCTGCCAGGGTTCAAATCCTGCCCAGCCACTTGCTGGTTGGCTGCAGCACAGTTTTCTGTGCCTTAGTGTCTTAAGTCCAGTTTCCTGGAGGCAGAGCCTGAGGCAGGGATATATTGAAGAGCTCACCCAACATTGAGAGGATTGTGTTAGGAAAAGTCTGCAGGGAAAGTGGGATAAGGAAGGAGGATTTGGAACAGGTAGGAAAAGGAGAAAATAGAAAAATAAAAGGAAGGAGGAAAGGCTGGGCATGGTGTGGCTCACCCCTGTAATCCCAGCACTTTGGGAGGCAGAGGGGAGCAGATCACTTGAGGCCAGGAATTCAAGACCAGCCTGGGTAATATAGTGAGATCCTTTTAAATTTAAAATTTCTCTAGAAAAAAAGTAACATAAATTAAATTTTAAAAGGAAGGAGGAAAAAGTTAAACAAGGATGTGGTCTCAGGTCAAGTCCAGGCTCAGCCTGATCTGTGGGAGGATCTGGAACATAAACTGAACCAGAGTCACCTTCCCTTGAAGGAGGAGACCAGCCTCTGTGCATGCCCATGAGTTGGTCACTGGCTGTGGGTCACTTCCAAGAGGTTGGCAAGGGGTCTCCTAACCTCCCAGACCTTACTCCTAGCAGCTGGGGGTGAGTGCACCAGCCCAGGGTGGGCTCCCAGGCATCTGTTGCCCTCAGTTTGTTCATCTCTGAACCAGGGACAATAATTGTACCTTCTTCATAGAGTTATTGAGAGGAATAAATGAGTAGGCTCATGGCAGCACCTAGAACAACGCTATGAGGCTGGGTGCAGTGGCTCATGCCTGGAATCCCAGCACTTTGGGAGGCTAAGGCAGGAGGATCCCTTGAGGCCAGGAGTTCAAGACCAGCCTGGGCAACATAGCAAGACCTCATCTCTACAAAAAAAAAAAAAAATCAAAAACCAGCCAGATGTGGTGGTGCTCACCTGTAATCCTAACTACTCAGGAGGCTGAGGAGGGAGGATCACTTGAGTCCAAGACGTCAAGGCTGCAGTGAGCTATGATCATACCACGGAAAGCCAGTCTGGGTGACAGAATGAGACACTGTTTCTAAAAAAAAAAAAAAAAAAAAAAAGCAAGGCAGCCAGGTGTAGTGGCTCATGCCTGTAATCCCGGCACTTTGGGAGGCTGAGGCGGGTGGATCACAAGGTCAAGAGATCAAGACCATCCTGGCCAACATGGTGAAACCCCATCTCTATTAAAAATACAAAAATGAGGGCCGGGCGTGGTGGTTCATGCCTGTAATCCCAGCACTTTGGGAGGCTGAAGCAGACAGCTCACTTGAGGCCAGGAGTTCAAGAGAGGCCTGGACAACCTGGTGAAACTCCATCTCTACTAACTATACAAAAATTAGCCAGGTGTGGTGAAGCACGCCTGTAATCCAAGCTACTCAAGTGACCGAGGCACAAGAGTCACTTGAACCCAGGAGGCGGAGTTTGCAGCAAGCTGAGATTATGCCACCACACTCCAGCCGGGGCAACAGAGGAAGACTCTCTTAAAAAAACACCAAGAACAAAAACCCACATTTGACAAGGAATGCAAATTCAATAATTATGCCAACATTTATTGGGTCTTTCTCGTCTCAGTACATGTCAGACACTATTCTAAGCACTTTGAATGTGAAAATTGCTTTAACCCTGGCAACAAACCCATGAGAAAGGTACTGTTATTTCTCCCTTATTTTATTTTTTTAAGAGACAGGATATCACTATGTTGCCCAGGCTGGTCTCAAACTCCTGGCCTCAAGTAATCTTCCCACCCCAGCCTCCCAAAGTGCTGGGATTATAGGCGTGAGCCACCATGCCTGGCCTTCTCCCTCATTTTATAGTTGCTGTAACCTGTCCAGAGAGATTAAGTAACATCTCTGAGGTCACACAGCTGGTGAGTGGCAGAGCCGGCGGCCCTGGCCAAGCCTACCCCACGTCACTCTGTTGCCTCATCAGAAATGATCGTCATCTTCCCTCCCCAACCACCTCTCCCAAGCCTATATTCCCAGTCCTCTGAAGGTCCCAGTGAAAGGTACTGCCCAGGCACCTTAACATAGAGACCTCAGCCACCCACTCTCTAAGCTCTCCCTCCAAGTGCCCAGTCACCTGCCTTCCTGAGTCAGCCTCAGACACAGCTGTAGGAATGTGCCTCTCTCTGGCCTCCCCAGTGCTGGGCCCTGACACTGTAGTCCCAGCTTCCTCCCTGTCTCTCTGACTCCATCCTGTCCCCCTCCTAACATGACAAATGCCCTAGAAGCAGCAGCTGCAGAATTAGGAAAATGTGAGCCGCATGTGGACCCCAACCACAAACTGCCTGGACTTGATTGTCAGCTCAGTATGTGGCTGGGCATGCTACTTAGCCTTTCTGTGCCTCAGTTTCCTCATCTGGAAAGTAGGGACTGTGAAATGACCACATAGCATTATTGGGGGATTAAATTAGTTAACATAAATAAAGTACTTAGTGCAATGACTGGCACATAGTAAACATTATAGGAGCATTTTTTTTTTAAGTCTTTGGGGCTGGCAAGGTGGCTCATGCCTATAATCCCAGCACTTTGGGAAGCCGAGGCAGGCAGATCAATTGAGGTTAGGAGTTCGAGACCAGCCTGAGCAACATGGCAAAAACCCGTCTCTACTAAAAATGCAAAAATTAGCTGTGTGCAATGTCACATGCCCATAATCCCAGCTACTCGAGAGGCTGAGGTAGGAGAATCGTTTGAAGCCAGGAGACAGTGGTTGCAGTGAGCCGGGATCATGCCACTGCACTCCAACCTGGGAGACAGAGCGAGACTCCATCTCTAAATAAATAAATAAATAGGCATTTGACCAGGTGCAGTGGCTCACTTAATCCCAGCACTTTGGGAGACTGAGGAGGGAGGATCACTTAAGGCCAGGAGTTTAAGACCAACCTGAGTGACATAGTGAGACTCCATCTCTACAAAAAAATTTAAAATAACAAAATTAGCCCGGCGTGATAGTACACACCTGTAGACTCAACTACTCCAGAGGCTGAGGGAGAAGGATCACTTGAGCCTGGGAGTTTGAGGCTGCAGTGAACCCAGATCATACCACTGCACTCCAGCCTGGGTGACAGAGCAAGACCCAGCCTTTAAAATATAGAGATAGAGAGATTTTTTTTTCTTTCTTTTCTTTTTTTTTAGATTGAGTTTTGCTCTTGTCACCCAAGATGGAATACAGTGGCGTGATCTCAGCTCACTGCCACCTCTGCCTCCTAGGTTCAAGTGATTCTCGTGTCTCAGCACTCCCAGGTAGCTGGGATTACAGGCGTGCACCACCACATCTGGCTAATTATTGTATTTTTAATAGAGACAAGGTTTCACCATGTTGGCCAGGCTGGTCTCAAAATTCTGACCTCAGGTGATCCTCCCACCTCAGCGTCCCAAAGTGCTGGGATTACAGGCATGAGCCATCGTGTTAGTTTCCTCTGTTGCTGACATCTTACATCGCCATGGTAATTTGTCAAAACTAACAAACCAAGTAAGAAACCAGCATTAGGCATGTTACTCTTCTTTTTTTTTTTTTTTTTTTTTGAGGCAGAGTTTTGCTCTATTGCCAGGCTGGAGAGTGCAGTGGTACGTTCTCAGCTCACGGCAACCTCTGAATCCCTGGTTCAAGTGATTCTCCTGCCTCAGCCTCCTGAGTAGCTGGGACTACAGGCATGCACCACCATGCCCAGCTAATTTTTGTATTTTTAGTATAGACAGGGTTTCACCATGTTGACCACAATGGTCTCAATCTTCTGACCTCATGATCCACCCTCCTTGGCCTCCCAAAGTGCTGGAATTACAGGTGTGCACCACCAGGCCTGGCAGGCATATTACTCTGAAATGGACCACACACTTGATTCAGATTTTGTCCGTTTATTTCAGTGACCTTTTCCTGTTTCAGGGTCCCACCAGGAGACCATACTGCACTTAACTATTATGTCTCCTTCATCCCTGTGACAGTTTCAGACTTCCTTATCTTGGGTGACGTTTTGGATCTACTGGTCAGGTGTGTCATAGGAAGTCCTCAATTTGGGTTTATCTGGTTTTCTCAGCTGGGGTGTAGGAGACAGGTATCACAGAGGTGCGAAGCCTTCATCACACCGTATGGGGGTATGTGATGACCACATGGCATCATCCGTGGTGTTCACCTTTCTCATTCGGGCAACGTATGGTGTGCTAGGATTTTCCCTTGTAAAGTAACTGCTTTTCTGTTTCCATGTTCTGTACTTTGTTTTGTTTTGTTTTTCTCATGATAAAACCCTTTAGCTTTTTCTCTGACAAGTTTAAGATCAGAAGTTCAAAGATGTACAAGAAAAGTTTGTAGTAATTAGGGCAATAAAAAAGTGAAAAGATCACAAACAACTTGGCAGTTTTGCAAAATATTTTCCAACTGATTCTTCTTATTATTATTACTGTAACTTATTTTTTCTTCAAAGTTGCATTTTAAAGTTAGTTTGAATCTTTTTTAAAAAAAAAAAAGAAAGGAGAGAAGGAAAGAGAAAAAAGGAGTGAAGGAGAGGAAGAAAGAGGAAGTAAAAGGGAGAGAGAACGGGAATGTTGCTTTATTCTAAAAATGGGTATTGAAAACTTCTTTTATGCCAATAATTGTGTTTAATAATGGCCTATCAATATTTCATTTAAACCTATGAGTGGGTGCGATGTGGTACTGGCAAGAATGTACATTTTATGTATTTAAAGTGGAGAGCTCTATAAATTAAGTTTACTTGTTCCAGATCTGAGTTCAAGTCCTGGATATCCTTATTAATTTTCTGTCTTGTTGATCTATCTAATATTGATGTTGAAGTCTCCCACTATTATTGTGTGGGAGTCTAAGTCTCTTTATAGGTTTTAGGTATCTGGGTGTTAGGATCGTTAGCTCTTCTTGTTGCATTGATCCTTTTACC